AGGGAGGTTTTGGAGAAACAGTTGCAGGATGGGAGGAGGGTAATAAAGACTCCTAACATTTACCACATGGCGCTGCCAGAGCTGCCTTTAGATAGTCAGTTATTTTGTGTAACTAAATGTTACTACTGTCCAGCACACTGTCAGCACTCAATGGCTATGAATCCCTTAAGAAGTGACACAAAATCAGGTGGGGGCTATACCAGGATCAGGAAGACTGTACTTTTTGAGAGAATAGCCAGAAGGAGAAGGCTGAAGTGACTGGAAAAGAGGAGTGGACCAAATCTGGCCTGTATTTATTTTTAAAAGATTTATTTATGCATACAGGACTGGGGTACAGGCCAGAAGTATGGGGGTGAGTGGGGAGACAGAGACAGAGTGTGGAGGAGAACAGCCAGATCTACTGAAGTACACTGCTGAGGGGAGCAGTGGGTGAGACAGGAGAGGTCTGCTGCACCATGTGGGTCACCTCTCTGCCCGGGTATTGAACTACAGTGGCTGTAAGTTAACTTCATAGTGCTGCGCTTAAACCCGTTGTGCCACCCAAGGAGGGTCTGAGCCCAGTATTTGTTACTGTAAATAAAGTTTTATCGGAAGGCAGGCACACATTCATATATATATATATTGTCTATGCATGCCTCCATGTGACAATGAATAGTGTGTCAAGTAGTTGCAAAGGAGACTACATGGTCTGCAAAGATTAAAATATTGATTATATGGCTTTTTACAGAAGAAGAAAAATAAGCAACCTCTGGTATAGGGCTTATTGGTATAATAATAAGTGCTGGTAGTTTTTGAGCACTTACTGTTTGAGGTACCACCCTAAACACATCACATAAATTAACTCATTTAGTCTTCACAGTAACCTTAGGAAGCAGATGCTATTTGAAGGAGCTAGTCTCAAAAAAAGTCCCAGTACACTGTGTCTCCTGGGATCCACACCCTTCTGCATTCCCCTCCCAGACCAGTCTAGGTCAGCCAGATGCTGACTAATAGAATGCAGAAGAGGTTAACATTGCACCTGTCCAAGCCCAGCCTGTAAGAACACTGATAGCTTCTTCCTCCACTTCAGAGCACTTTGGGAACACTGATGGCATGAACAGTCAAGAGTTGAGGGGAGAGGCCACAGGGAAAGGAGGAACCCAGTCAGCTGGGTTTGGGGGACACAGCCCGGTCTCACATGAAAGACCTCCAGGCAACACTGCTTGGCCGAGCCCAGTTAACTTAGAACTGTAAAAGGCATAAATCTTCACTTAGCCACTATGTTTGGTAGGGTAGGTAGTTTAATACAGCGACAGTCAGCTAAGGCATGATCTCTACTAGGATGATCCCAGGTCTGTCTAATCGCAAAGCTTTTCCCTCTCTACTGCCTCTCAACCAGTGCACACATCAGAACTTTTCTGCATTGGGAGCCTACTTGGAGACCTTTGTTTCTTCTGTTAATTGCTTCTTCAAGATACACATTTATACACTAAGATGCATGCATGAAACACATTTAAGGGTACAGTCTAATGAATCTTGACATATTCACATTGAGTATTTGACCCCATACAAAATGCTGTTCTAGGTTCCCAGAAATGAAACCCAAGGTTACAAAATGTAGACCCTATTTATGTGGGTTTTATAATCTCGTGTAGGAGATACAGCACAAGACAGAACAGAACAGTACATTTTCATTCATTCACTTGCCATGTGCTTTTTGAGCACCCATTATGTGCCAGGCACTGAAGTAGGTAGGCAGTAACAAGGTTCACCTCTGCCTTCAAGGTGCTTATAGTAGTCTAGTCTTGAGAGCAGCACAATGAATAGTTAAATACACCTACTCCCCCTCCTAATACCTAAGTTCTTTTCCTGCTTCTCCTGCTGACACTGTCCTAGTCTATCGAGTTTCTAGACTATGACCTCTGATTCATACTCCAGACCAACAGCCATATTTAAGTGCTCAATTTAAAAAATTCAGTTAATGGTTCCCCATTTTCCAGGCAGCTCTGGTGTCAGCATGTGTGGGCTTGAATCCTCACATAGAGGATCTATATTGTGACCACAGGTTACTTGTTTAAAAGCCTCAGCCTCGTGTGTATTCTGTAAAATGGAGATAAAATCATCATGATGATCATGATCATGATAATGATCATGATCATCATCATTAACATCTATCTCCCTGAAGAGGTTGAGCTTTAATCTGTCATAACAAGTATTTATACAGCATGTGTTAAACCTTTGCATGCACCATCCATTTAATCCTCCTAATTACTCATTTTTTCCTTCCACCTTTCTGTACTACTCAGTCCTATCAAGCTGCTTGTATCCACGGACATACTCTTTGCTGTCAGTGTGCTGGTCCTACCAGCGATGTTCCTTCCCTCTTTCTACCTTCTCCTGGGTGGGTCTTCCTGAACTCAGGATTTAATCTCACACTGGCCACTGCACAGACCTTCCTTGATTTTGCTCACAGAGCTAGATGTCCTTGAATGGACCTCCACAACATCCCTGATTGAAGGTATCTATCCACCTCCTGTTTGTATTTGTTACCACCTGCTCCAGTGAGAGCTCCTTCTGGGCAGGCCTGATTTCAATTCTTCTTAGTACCCCCAGCCATGGACCCCGCCCATTTAGCAGGTGCTAGGTCTGCCTACTGATTGACTAGAACATGCCAAGCATTTTCTTAAGGGAAGTGGCCTTTGAATTGACCTTGAAGCAAGAGGAGGACCTTAAAATTTATTTTAAAACAAGTTGTACATGTACACATACCAGATCGAAAAGGAACAAAAGACCTTACAGTGAAAATTAAAAGTAGGTCACTTCTCAACTATCTAGCTCCCCTCCCCAGAGGCCACCATTGGTATCAGTTTCTGAGTATTCTATGCAGGCAAGAATTGTCTATCTCCCCTAAAACACACATTTTTTTGTTTTGTAAAAATTTTAACTTACAGTTAAGTCACAAAACCAGTGCAAGGTACACTCTTTGCTTAGTGTTACCAATTAACATTTCTCTACTTTATGCTAAATATTTTACAAACATTATATCATGGAATGTTCATAAGCAAAGCAATCATGCCAGTAGTTCAGAAGAGGTAACTGAGGCAACAACCACAGAACTAGCAAGGGTGGAGCTGGGCTACCCTCTCAGGCTGCAACAGGACTGCATTCTACCTTCCCTCCATTACCTTTTGTGGGAAGCAACTTCATACACTGTGCTGAAATCTACCTCCCTGGGATATACACCAGATGATCAGTGGAAAATTACACAGCTCTGGAAGCATTTGCTGCTTATCCTAGAACCTCCCCATTCCAGAAGCAACAGATGCTGTCGCTGCTGCTAACACATGCTTCAATGTCACCTCCTCTGTGCAGGCTGAGCTAGCACACCCATATAAAGAGGTCTGTCTTCCTCATTGACTCCAGGCTGCCAACTGGATGACATTTACACGCCTGAACTTGAAATCCAAGAACCTGGGTGATCCGTTGTCATGAATACCTATAGCCTCCTCCATCCTGCTCCTTCTTCCTTACTCCACTTCTTGTAGCTCTTCCTAATTTTCTCAGAGATCATTTCCTTCCTCTCAGTGCTCCTATAACCTGCCAGCACAGAAGTTTCATTTCCAGTTTCTCCAGTTAATCTTTTGACCAGGTGACTAGACAATAGAGTTGGGGGTGACAGTTCTGTTTTTCCAAGCAGAGAGACCCTGGACAAACCACGTCAGGTGTCTGAGCCTTAATTTCCTGAAGTACGTAGTGAGGGAAAGAATGCCTAGCTCAGTAACTGGCGTGGAGTCAGCCTTCCCTAATCTCTCATAATAGAACTGACAGGTCTTCAAGGCTGACATCTTCTCTTAGTCATTCCTTGAAACTTTACCTTCTATTTCTTAACTACTTTGAGCCTGTTTCCGCCAGTGTAAAATAAGGATGATAATGGAAGGGCCGTGAGACTTTAATGAGCTCACGCCTATCAAGCACTGGGAACAATATGTGGCCCTAATTAATGAAGCTGCCTGTGCCTACTATGGGGACCTCGCACATAGTAGGGATTAAACTAATCCACTCGGAGCTGGGCTCGGGTGTCCAGAATGGGTAAGAGAAGGCGAGGCTGGAAGCGAGAGGTTTGCAGAGAACTAGCGGGGACGTCAGCTCCGCCCCAGCCCCTGCAGCTGTCAGGACCCGGCGGGCCTCGGTGCCAGTCCACCAAACCTGAAAGTCCCATCCCGGCGCCCCCACCTTCTTTCGCCTGCACAAGTTACCTTGAGCGGGGCTGTTATTTATCCCCGCCCCCAATCTCCATTGGCCTAGAGGTTTCTTTGTTAGCCCGAGCGCGCGGCTGTCATTGGTCTGCCGGGACGCCGATCGCGTTGGGGGCGCGGCCCC